GCGTCACGCACAGCGCCCCCCGGGGGCTCTGCTCCCTGACTGGACCTGCCAAGCAATGTGCTGGGAGGTATTTGGATGAGTTAAGACGTTCCCCAGCGACTGCAGCAGCTGTGTGTTAGTATGCAAAATATGTGGTTGGCATAGTTAAAATCACACACAGCTGTTTGATAAATCACTGGATTACCCCACCATTCTGAGCCGATAGAGACGAGAGAAAATAATAAACTCTCACGAGGGTAAAGCAGGTAAACATTTCTGTCACTGAGAGATAACAACAGGTAGACAGTCTGAGTTAATCCACTCAGACTTCTATTATGGTTTGATAGGAAGACAGATGGCGTCTCGGTCAGCTCGCCGCCCGCTCGCCGTGCCGATGGGAGGGTTTAGGATGCGTGTTTGCTCTGAATAAAAAAGCAGGAAGACACATTTCCATCACAACGTCTGAGCAGAAGCGTAGAAGCACGTAGCAGCGCTGCAGGAGGTCCGGTGAGTCGGCCCCACGGCGCTTCAAAGGCTTCGTGGCTTCCAATTTAGCCTCCTCCACCCTCAGCATTCTCCCCCTCTCTCTCCATTCATTCATTTATTTATACCCTTCCCTCGTCTGTTCATCACACAGCAGCACAAACCTCTCCATCTCCACCTCTTTCTCTTTTCTGTGCTCTAAGAGTGGAAGAAACCACCCCGGCTGTGCACCCGGCTCTCCACTCTGCACGCGCAGCCTGAAGAAGGCAAACACAAAAGCGCCTCCATAAAAATTAATAGCGGGGTAGAATTTACTCATTCAACCTGCTGTTATGAGAAAATGTGCTGCAGAAAGTGGGCCAATAATAGCTCAGAGTTCTCGTTGCACCGGGAAAAACTCAACATCCAGGCTGTTTTTTTGTTTTTTTTAGAACAGGCTCATTTATGAAAGAAATTATCAGAAGTAATCCATTAGTGATGGTTGGAGTTTTGTTATTTAATTACTTGTTTTCAGCTAAACTTTAGTGCTTCAAAAGATTAAAACATCAGGTTGTCTCGGCTGTCAGAGCTGCGGTCGGGTTGTTACCAAACTGAATGAATGTGTTCAATAATTCATGCTACTGTCAACACGGAACCAGAAACTTTTACAGATGTTATTTCTGAATGATCATAGGGTTAGGAAAGGCTTCAAGACCTGTTTCTTTTAATGTTGGGACCAGTAAAGTGGTGTCCCAAATACTGGTATCAGTTTCAGGCCCTTATACTTGGAACTGAAACCAACACTAGTACCGATACTCCACTGGCTTTCAGAGCAGCTGTAGGCCAACAAGGAAAGGGGAGCCACCTGGTTCTAAATAATGAAATAAGAATAAAAATAGTTCAGTTCTAACAGTAAGTACTCTGTATTGGTGAGCCCCAAACTGAAGTACTTGTCCTTGTATTTGTTTTGAGACAAACTCTAGTTTCAAGGGTTGGATCTTGTWGTTTGAGTACAACAGGAGATTGGTTCTTAAAGTGCCTGTGACATCAAATTTTTGTAATAAATATGAAAGCTTTTATGGAAAGATAACATTGATAAAATATTGCAAAAAAAAATTTCACGCAGCTGAGATGAACAGTTGTTGAGATATTTGCATGTGAAGAAACAGGAAGTGATGTCAAAGGGGAACGTCTGCATGTAAACAGAGAATCGCTACAATGGCCGACAACTCAGACTGTAGAGAASAATCTGATGTTTTTTTAGATTATTTTGAGTCACTATCAAAGAGAGATGAAGAAGAGTTAAAGTTTAAATATTATTGTTTTAAYAAACAAAGACTAGAGTTTATTTTACTAGCGTTCCCCTTTCATGTCACTTCCTGTTTCATTTAGGCTGGACCCAATGAGGTGTATTTATATTGAGGTAAAAATGCCTCAATGGCTGAACCAAGTTCAAAAGGAAATAGGCCATTTATGTGACAAAATGGGTAAAATAATGTCTTTTATGCCAATTTTCTTCAGTATAATCATGTTTGCTTTGACTTTTTGTATTTGAAGGGTAGGCATGTCCCAGGGACGTTAAGATGATGGCAGGTTAAACTAGACTTGGTCAAACACACTGAGAGTTATGCTTCCCCTCTAAGGGACAGTGGAAATAAACTTCGTTCAACTAAATGTCACGTTCCTCATCTCTTTGCTACATCTGAGCACCACCAAAAAACAATAACTGAGCTCTACCTGGTATTTCATGCACAGAAACAGCATTTTAACACATCCACATGTACGACTGACTAAATGTGAAACAAAAAGTATTAATAGTAAAAGTAAGAGTTTTACTCACTGTTTAGTTGTGGTAAGTAGCTGCTGTCTTGAATTCTGAATTTTCCCACTTTCCAACTGGGAATTCCCAATAGAATAGCATTTGAGTTTAAATTTAGGACTTGTAAATGGGGAATTCCCACTTCCCAGTACAGCTGGGCTGAAGCAAAAATGCAGCGCAACAGATTTTACAGTGCAGATTTCACCAGCTACTTTTGAACCCTGTGCAGCGCCCCCTACTGGTAGGATGCCATCATTTCACAGGTAAAATAACAGACATGCATGATGGGGGATGTATTTTATGGTCAATGGAGAATAGAGTTAGGGTTAGTGATTGGATCTTGTATTTAAGGTCAACTCGGGGGGGCGTTGGTTCTGATGTTTATGGTGAGTTGGTGACTTGGTTTAGAGGAGTTAGGTGGTTTAAAAGTGTTTGAGGTTTGGGACGGGTAAATTGAGAAATTAGTTCCAGTGAATAAAGACAAGTTTTATTAGATTTACTGGTTGGTTTTTATAGTTTAAGATGACTGGAGGGTCGAATAAATTGTGATAAATATCAAACAAGTTATTAACATGATGTACCTTTAGATATGAACACACTGGTGTGTTATTGTGGAAAACACACCCCCTCCTCACAAAATTAGACTTGTTTTCTCATGCAGTCTGGCTGCACAAACAAAGTGCGCAAAAACACACACAGACACACACACACACACACACAAAAAAAACAGCCATCTGGGAGTGAATTCCATTTCATTTCCCGGTTTAGTAAGGAGCAAACAGGGGAATCAATACAAGCCAGCTCCAGCTGTGCTGCAGGGGGTTCGGCTGCCATAGAGACAGATGTACCACAGCTACAAACTGCTGCTCTAATTCAATCCTCCGAAGTTAATTCACAACATACACAAACCCAGGATGAGCTCCGCTGTTGTTGCTCTGGTTGGAAAATGCGATTGTGAAACGACCGTGAGAGTATTGCAGCAAGGGTTCAGGACAGAAGACTGAGACTGGAACACACAAAAACCTCCTCACCTGAGCGCAGTACTGGGACTTGGCCACAGCTACCAGCAGCTTGAGGATGGGTTGGGACTGGGACACCAGAGGAGACACGGCATGGATGACGGCAGTGAACTTGGGGTACGGTTTGATACCTAAAGCAGAAAACAACTGTTAATCCTTCAAAACAACTTCAGGAAACATTGAGGCTTCCAGCACAGGCATCTGAGCTTTTATTTTGAAAAACCTTTCAAGTCTATTTTTTTCACAGGAAGTACTCGAAATGAGACAACCTGCTGGTGTGGCTTTATGTTGGAGTAATCAAACCTGAACATCAGTGGTGGGCATGGTTCCGTCAATCAGCTAACAGCTAACAATTTTTTCACTTAGTGGATTAGCTTTCTTGCTAACTTTACCARACCAATTAGCTTAAACTAAATTAAGTTTTTTCAACTTGAAGTCTGCTAACAGCACTGTAACTAATAAATTAAACAGGTTTGTGTCAGTCCCACCTGTCTACAGCTCAAACAAGAYGAAGACGTGTGATGCAGACATGTTKAGCAGTTTAGTGTTATTACCGTATTTATTCATGTATAATACGATCATCATTTTTTGAGCTTAAAGCATTAAAAATCTAATTATCAATAACTCATGTATAATACCACCCCCCACTTCATGGAAGATCTTTAGGGTTAAATTTCTAGTATTATACTGTACATGAATAAATACAGCAGTTATGTTTTTATTTAGCTGATTATGAGTTAATAAAGCTAATGTTTGGATTAGCTGTGCCCACTGCTGATTAAAACAAGGAAGAAAAAAGATAGAGCAAGACRAATTATAGAGGACATGTAACTTTTTCTAATTTAATTCTAATCTAACCTGAACCGGCAGCATGGAGACACAATGAATTTCTGACAAACATCTTATGAAGACRATTATCCCCAATTCTCAGACTTGGTAGGTTTGTAATGGAGAACTGTGGACTTCTTGAATTTGAGGGTGTAAATTTGTAACTCTTGAAAAGAAGCAGGTGGCAGATTTTAAATTTTGGATGCTGTTTTTCAGCCTTTAGCACTTGATGCTCTGGTTTTTTTTTTTATTTTGTGTTTTTTTTATCCTCCTGCATGTCTCAATTCCTGAGTGTCTGCAGCATCACTTCAGGCTGCTTCCAGACAAAAACACACTTCTGGTATGAAGTTTCAATGCAGCATTAAATCATGGATAATTGAAACCAGCAATATTTATCACATAGAAAACAGGCCTAACTCAATATTTCATAAGAAAACTTAAAAACGACGTCTCTATTTCCTGTTTGAGACTAAATATATTGTGAAAACTCATCCTAGTTTAGCTTGGCAGCAAATCTGTAACATCATTGGCCTTCATAATTTAAGATCTTGTACCTGAATGGGAAAAAAATCTTTCAAAAAGGTTTTTAAATTATACAGAAAGCTTCTCTAGAGAAGCAGTTTGTTAGCTGGTTGGTTGGAGTTCTGGTTTGGCAAAACAAAACAAAACCAAAACATTTGTGGCTCAGTCTTTTGTTTTTGAGGGAAAACACTGAAATAACACAACATAAAAAAGTGACACATTTATAATGCAATAAATCCTTCTGTGAATGCAAAATAAAAGCCTTAATAAGGTAAAGAAAAATTTATTTACCATTTAACGGCACTTCAATACAATTAAGATGSTAAAACGTAAAATATGTTATATCTTTTGTTTTCATGACAGCATTTAAAAAGGAAAACAGTGAAACAGTTTACTGCTGTGATTAAAGTTTTACTGRCTTGGTTTGTTGCCTAATAAAGTTTATTCCAACATATTTTATGTTTTATTAGGCAAATTGACTGTTTATGACATTATTAATGCTGAAAAAGATTAATTTTCTGATATATTTAGAATGAAATTAGCCAGAAATGTTCTTCACTCTTGRAGATAAAGGATGAAAGGTCACTTAAACAAATTCTCTGCCTCTGATTTTACTCGTTTGCCTGTTGGTGAGGAGCCTTTGGCTCCTAAAAGCCCCTCCATGTTTAATTACTTCCTCTTCTACAAACAGACACAGTAAGAGCCTCTCCATGCATTAGTCAGCTGAGCTCAAACTGCTGAGTCATATGAAGTCAACCAAAGGGCTCCTGGGTGACCCTTATTTTGAAGGTAGGTCTCCGTGTATAATGACCACGTCATATTAAAGCTTACGCTCTTAAGATKTTGAGATGCCAGGATCTGTCACACAGAACATTTAACATGCCTGTTTTGCTGTCGTAATTCAAAGGTCCCTGCCCACACATCATTTCCTGAGACCGGGACAGACTTGCGTCACATTTCATACACGTTGCATTATAATCTGCTTTAATTGCATCATCTGTCAATGGCRTCATGGAAGGACCATGAAATCTGAATTTGGTATTTCAGCCTATAAAAATATTGGTATGGATAAGATTAATAACATGGGAATATGAAAAGATACAAAACACGTTGTTCAGTTGAAAGATATAAAAACAAAAATAGGGTTGAAACTTCCAGGGTTCACAGAGCCATATTTCAGAAACCAAATCTGAGTAGGTGACCCAGGAAGGATGACGATTAGGAAACATCTAGACATTTGTATTCAGACAGGCTTTTAGCTAATTTTGTTTCATGTGTCTGTAAGTGTTTTTAAATGTTTTTGTTCTYCGTTTTCATTGTTTTTAGTTAATTTGCTCTTGATACACTGTGATGTTTGTGAAAGGTGCTATATAAATAAAGTTGTATTACTTATTGCTGAAACATTTTAGAGACTCTTTGGAGACTGTATTGAGACTCCATGGAGGTATTTTAGAGACTTTTTGGAGACTTGTTGGAAGCATCTCAGAGACATTTTGGAGAGTCTTTGGTGACTTCTTGGAGCCGTTTTATAAACTTTTTGGACTTCTTTAGATTTATTGTTTTGTGTGTGTGTGTGTGTGTGTGTGTGTGTGTGTG